CTCACAAACACTTGGGAAGTGAGGTCGTCCCTGTGGCTAGATCAGGAGAACAGAGAAGGCCAACCCCGCAACCAAGACAAAGCCATTAGAGTAAGCTAGAACTTTCCGCTGAGAAAGAATGGCCACAAGTAAATCCGGGAGCAGCAGAGTTATCTTGGGTTGGGCCACCTCAGCCTGGCTGGAAGGACAGCCACCCCGGGCAGGGATCCTGGGGGACTTCTCAGCAGGGGAAATCCCTCCTTGGGGCTCACCTGTCAATACGGGAGGTGGGCAAGTGCGTTTGCCTTCGTGAGCTCATCACATGGGGCTTTTAGGTTTTGAAATCTGAAAGTAAAACGGTGTTTGCCTGATACAGTCCATCGAGACTTGTTTGGTTTTTGTGCGGGATGCACAAGAGACCAGGGTTGTAAGCTCAGAAGGGGCTCGGGAATCCACCTGCCTGGTCACCAGGCCCAGGGGGAGTGGCCTCAGCTGGAACAAGCAGGCAGGCACCAACAATAGGTCTGAAGAGGGAGCCCAGGCTGTGGGGACTGAGGGGGCCAATGCATGGGGCATGGCCTGGGAACGAGGACACTGGGTTCCAACCCAGGGTCACGTCCACCGCCTGCCTGCTCTCAGACTTCGGGGAGGTCGGCAGGCCTCTCTGTGCCTCGGTTTCCTCTTCTGAAATGGGGGTTGGCACAGGTGTCTCTTAGGGCAGAAGAAAGAGCCAGAAGCTCCAATCGTGCCTGGCGTGGGACTGGACTCCCCACGGGTCGTTCTGTGATCCTATCACCATCCTTCCTAAAATGTTTACCACGCGTCTCAGCCAGGAGCAGAGGCATCCTGTTTCAATAGAAAAGGCATCTTCTAAAATGTCTGCCTAAGTGAGAGGCTCTGCCTCGATATCTCCAAGTTAAGAAACCTTTTTGAATTTCCTAAAAGAGGAACCTCAAAGATCAGGACAGTTGGAAGAAAATCAGATGGCCTCCAGCTCTTGGCATCCTTGGGTGGGGGGGGGGGGGGGGGGGGGGGGAACAGTGGCCTGGTGGGCACACCGTGCCCCCCCCAGGCCCAGGTGCCATCTGCCCCATCAGAGGGAGGGCGGGGGTGCTGCTCCTTTGTTAGTGTGACCTAAAAACCGTGCCTGGAGAATTTTAAATTACAGAGTCGTCTCTTAATGGGTTTCTTCTTCTATCAGGATTCCTTCCATTTTTTTTTTTCTTCCCAAAGTGTGCAACTTGTATTAGAGATGTGTACTTTTATGTTATATAAGGAGGGGGTTGGAAAATGTGTCCAGGAAAGGAGAGGCCTGTTCTCCCATAGCATTTTGCCAGCGCTGTGGGTTTTCTGGCCTGGTGGGAAGGCAGCATTAGCATGTGGCCTCCGCAGCCCCCATGCCAGATCACATCGCATCATTGCTGGCACCCTGATCCAGCTTCCTCCCCACCCCCCATCCACCCCGGGCCCCACATGACCACCATGCACACCGTCCTCCCTTGTGCCGTCTTGCGCTCTGAGCCCGTGCGTGCACCGGTCCAGCCCCCAGAGCAGCTACATAATAGTTCCCCTGGCCGCGCGCGCCAGGCCGGCATTTCCTCCTCCTCCGACGTATAATAGCGGCAACCGGATATTTTTAGACTGGCTTTGAAAAGTCGCAGTGTTCTGAGACCGCATACCAGACACATGAGGTCACTGCCCACCCCCCCACCCCCACACCAAAGCCTGGGCTGCACGGGGCTGGTGGGCCCTCACATCCCAAAGACTTTCCCTCTTGCGGTCCCCAGGACGCCAGCCCTGTTTCCTTAGAAATCCCACAGAGACTTGTCCCGAGTTCAAAAGGGGGACGGCTGTGGGCTCTTGGGCTGTGCGTGCACATTGTTGGTGAGCTTCTGTAGCGGGGCCCCGACTACAGGGGCCGCAGCGCAGAAAGAGGCCTGGTACCCGGGGGAAGGAGCCCACACGGGCTCGGGCATCGCTTCCCCATCTGCTCGTAGTTAGGCAGGAGGGCTTGCTCACCGAGTTTATTTTCGTTTGGCGCAGGGGGAGGGCCCTGGCCCGTCCTCCGCTCCGATGCCACCCCGCAGGGTCTTGTAAGGGATGAAGGGAGGCAGCGGACCCACTGCCCGCTGATTCCGAGAGCAGAACTTGAGGAGTCTACAGGCTTCATTCCAAACAAACAAACAAACAAAACACGATCCCAAGGCCGAACTCAGGGAGCGAGGGATTCAACCTAGAAAGACAGTTTGCTTCCTCACAGGACTCCACAGGCCTGCAGTGCACGTGGGGACCCTCAGGACGAGATGAAGGGCCCGCAGAGCCCTCGACCACCCAGCCTTGCAGACCCGTCGTACCTCCCTCTGTATATAGCAGGGCTACCTGACAGTTCAGCCAGCTCTGGGGACATTTTTGGTTGTCGCCGATGCTGCTGGCCTCTGGCAGGTGGAGGCCAAGGACGCTGCTCAGGACCCAACAGCACACGGACGGTCCCACCGCTGAGAAGGATCCAGCCCCGAGGATCAGCAGTGCCGAGGCTGGGGACCCTGCGCTGGGTTCCGTAGACACTTGGGAGAGCAGGCAGTCCCAGACCTGGCCCCAGGCTCTTGTCACCCAGCCACTGGGCCGGCAGCTCAGTCACACGTCAGGACCTGGTCGTTCCCACTGGCTGAAGAGCCCATGTGTTTAACTCAGCTCTTCGAAGGCTTTCAAAACCCGGCCAATGGACACGTCCTAAGGAAGCATTTGTGAAGACGAGAAGGGGCCCCTGTGGCCGCTGACTTGGGAAAGTGCCTCCTCAGACTGGGTTCTGCCTCCATGAGGCCGTGGGGAGCCCCCCCCAACCCCAAAAGTGCCCAGCCGCCACCCCTGCCCCGAGCAGAGCCCCCATTTCCAGTACTGGGCCAGGTTGCCTCCCTGGGGCACCTCCTTCATTGTTCCTCTCCTGCTGGGTGACTTGGCCTCAGGTCTTTCAGCAGGGCCCATTCTTGGGGTCTGGAGCCCCTGGAGCAGTGGGGCAGGAAGTTGCTTGTCCTGTGATCCCCATGTGCCAGGCACCTGACAGCCCGGTGCCGCTGCCCTGGTTCCGGGCTCTGCTGATTAGAGCCGTTCTCAAAGGAAGTGTCCCGGCAGACACTTCTTCATGGGGCCTTCACATCACGACACCAGAAGCTCTGATCGGGGATCTGCTACATCCATTTCTCTGCAGAATGAAGCCTTTAAGAAAATCCTGCTTGCTCTCCGTGTGGGCGCGTCTCCCGGTCCCTGAGTCCCCTGCGAGCCTCTCCACCTCTCCCTGCCCTGCCCTCATCCCCCTGGCCCACCAGACCCTCACACACCTACACTCAGCCCCCAAACCCCTGCAGACCTTGACAGTGGCCTTGCCACTTCCTTCCCGCTGCCCTCACGCCTTCCCAGCCTTCCATACAGCTCAGCCTTCTCAAACTGGAACACTGTTGGCCTGACCCTCCTTGTGGCCACCAGGCTTCCCTTTCTGTGTGTGAGTGGGGCATCACCCCACCCCATGTCACCCCTTCTTTGGCGCCTGGAGACACAAGGGCTTGGACAGCTGAGCGCCAGTCTCCATGACCAGTTCTGCCTTTCTCTCCTCATCTGCCCAGCCCCATGGCCCCCACCTCTGCCAGTGTCTTTCTCCCTGAAAACAGGAAACACCCCCCCCAGCACCTTCTTCTTCCCTGCCCTGCATTCCCCCAAGGTTTTATCATATGTTCCCCCTGCCTGTTCACCCCTTAGGGCTGTTGGATACCTCATGGAAAGGGGGGCACCCCAAAAACCTGGGCAGGGTGTGTGCTTTGTCTTAATCTGGGTGGTGGACCCTCAGGAGGCTCCAGGGGGACCCCACAGAGTCACAGACTCCATGCACTATTCATACTTTCCTCTATGTATTGGAAATAAAGCCCTGATTCGTGCCACAATGAGAATGAACCCCAAAAGCATCATGCGGAGTGAGGGACACCAGACAGAAAAGCCACATAATGTATGCTCCCACCTAGGTGAAATGTCCCGAACAGGCAATTCCATAGAGGCAGAAAGCAGACTGATGGCTGCCGGGGGCTGGAGGAGGCAGGACGGGGGATGGGAAGTGAGTTCTAATGGGGATGGGGTCTCCTTTTGGGGTGACGGAAATGTTCTGGAATGAGAGGTGACAGTTACACAACACTGGGAAGTCCTAAATGCCACTGAATTGTTTATTTTAAAATGGTTAAGTTTGTGTTATGCTAGTTTTACTCCAGTCAAAAAGCTCTCCAGGGCGCGTGGGTGGCTCAGTCGGTTAAGTGGCCGACTCTCGATTTTGGCTGACGGTTCATGAGTTCGAGCCCCAAGTCGGTCTCTGCGCTGACAGTGTGGAGCCTGCTCGGGGTTGCGTCTCTCTCCCCCTCCCCCTCCAGTGTGCCTGCCTGCTCTCTCTCTCTCTCTCAAAAGAAATAAACTTTGAAAAAATTTGCCATGAACTGGCTTGCCATCCCACAGAATTACAGAACCCCCTCCAGGACGGGACGTGTCTCCACATCTGCTTCCTCCTACCCAGCCTCATATTCTTCTGGAGCCCAGCGCCCATCTCAGCCCAGGGCCCAGCAACCTCCTTTCAGAAAGGGCCAAATAGTAAATATTTTCAGCTCTGCAGGCCCGCAGGTCTCTCTCATGGCTACTCTGCTGTTAACGGTATAGAAGCAGCCGTGAAAGATCCATAAATGAGCGGGCCTGGCTATCCACCAATAAAACTTCATTTACAGACATGAAAATGTGAATAGGATTTTCATGTGTCAGGAAATAATATTCTTCTTGGGTTTTTTTTTTTTTAATGATTTACAAATGTAAAAACCACTCTTGGCTCACAGGCAGTACAAAAATAAGCAGCAGACTGGATTTAGCCCACGGGCCAGAGTTCACCGTATGAACAATTGTAACTGAAAAAGGATGCCGCTGATTGGCCTTTTCCACGTCCGAGACTTAACACTTGAACCCCCCTCACCCAACCCAAACCCAGAGATAAAGCGTTAAGTATGGTGCAGCCCACCTGGGCCTCACACCTTCGGGGTCTCCAGTTCTCGGGCCGCCGGGTGACTTCAGCCAAATGAGCGTCCACGGCGCCCAGGGGGACCTCCGAGGCTCCAGGCTGAGGCGCGTGTAGACATTTCATCCTCGTGATCTGAAACCCTGCTTCCGTTTTCCTCACAGGCTTTTGGGAATGCCAAAACAGCCCACAACAACAATTCCAGTCGATTTGGGAAGTTCATCCAAGTCAACTACCTGGAGAGTGGCATCGTGAGAGGGTGAGTCGGTAGGCATCTAGCCGTGTACCACCAGCCTTGGCCTGGGGTCCTGGGGCATCCCTGTAAGGAAGAGCCAGCCTGGGAGCTCAGTGTTGACATTACGGCCGTGCAGACACGTGTGGATCGTACGGAGACGCAAATGTGATTTTTTTTTTTTTTCCGAAGTCATTGATGTGAAGATCTGAACTGTGGGTCAAAGTGGGAGGTGTAAGTGCAGGAGGGGCGGAACCTCTGTCCCCCGGTCATGGAGCATGGGCCCCGGTGCCCAAGAAGCAAGTACGATGACCTGAAGGTGCTAGTCTGCCAAGAACTGGCAAGGACACGCCAAGCTATGTCTTGGTCTTGGTGAGGTTTTGAATTTGGTGGCTCTGGAGATACCACAGGCAAAGCTGATGCGGACCGTGGAGTTTGCCAAAGGTGTGCCCCTTTAGCCAGGAGAAGACGTAAAAGACGTAATGCTGGGTAGCGAGTTGAAGCGGTTGTCCAGGGAAGTACTCAAGGGTGGGTAGATGGCTAGACGGGAGGGAGGGAGGAAGGGGAGATAGGTTCATGGATTGATCCATGGGTGTGTGGGTAGATGGATAGATGGATAGATTCTTGGGTATGTGGGTGAATGGATACATGTATAGATTCATGGGTGGGTGGATGGATTCATTGGATGGGTGATGGATGGACGGATGGATGCTTGGATGGATGGATGGATGGATGGATGGATGGATGGATGGATGGATTGGGGAGGTGGGGAGGTAGATAGGCTCTTGCTAGTTGGATAAATTCATAGGTGGCTGAGTTCGTAGGTTGATGGGTTCATGGATGGATGGATGGATCAGGTCGATGGGTGAGTGGGTGGGTGGTAACTGGGCTGTGAAGTTGATTGCCTGGTGGAAGTTAAAACAGACCAGCATTTTGTGCCGAAAATGTGAGTTCTGAAGGCATGGTTACCTCAGCTATATGTGTAACGTTGAAATCGTGCTCATTTACACTCTGTGTAGCAGTTATGCTTATGAAAACATCTGGCAGTTGTGTGCAGCGAATTAACGTGATAAGGAATTATCTGTTTTGTCATAGTGTTTAAGCCATGTCATTTAAGAATTCTATTCTGAAGGATTTCTTGTTTAAAAAGTATATATTCTGGGGGCGCCTGGGGGGCTCATGTCACAATCTCAGAGTTCATGGGTTTGCGCCCTGCATCCGGTTCTGTGCTGATAGCTCGGAGCCTGGAGCCTGCTTCAGGTTCTGTGTCTCCCTCTCTCTCTCTGCCCCACCCCTGCTCACACTCTGTCTCTCTGTGTCTCTCAAAAATGAATAAATGTTAAAAAAAATTTTTTTTTAAGTATATATTTTGGAAAAAAAAAGCATTCTGGGTAGTTGCAGTTGGTTAAAACGTAATTGTGATTGAATACTACACAGTGTTTTGGGTATTTTTTACTATGCAAAGGTCTTATGGGCCAATAAAACTTTTTTTTTTATTTTATTTTTGAGAGAGAGAGAGAGAGAGAGCAAGCAAGGGCAGGGCAGAGAGAGGGGGATGGACAGAGGATGTGAAGTGAGCTCTGCACTGACAGAGAGCCCAATGTGGGACTTGAACTCACGAACCATGAGATCATGACCTGAGCCGAAGTTGGACGCTTAACCGACCGAGCCACACAGGCACCCTTGCCAATAAAACTCTC